GCTAAAATTACTGTTTCCTAGTAGAAAAACTGGTGGAGAAAATTGAGTTCTTATAATAAATTCCATAACTGCTTAGCTGTAAATGATTTTTAAAAGTCACTTGACTGTGCAAACTGGTTAGAAGTATTTAAATGATATTTCAAAAGCTTAATGTCAACCATCAGTGTCCAATAAATGAAAATTACTTTTAGTGATACATCTGGAAATATGATGGTTTTTTGAGCTAAAATCTCTCAAGCTTTGCATAAAATCTGTATTTTAATTTCCACTGTGTGCCTGTTATATAAACTTCTGATATTTGTTATAGAGAAAAAGAAGATAAACTAGATACCACTTGGAATATTGAAAAATGAGTAGAATGTTAAGATATGCTAAATTTATTGTTTGCTCATCAAGAGAAAGAAAGTGAATTTATTTAGGGAAACAATTTTACTTAAAGAAAGGGCAATATTTTAATAAGTAGAAAGGGGAAGGGAACATATTTTGAAATAGGAGCAGCATCACTGGAATGAAAAATGTAATGTGACAAAGTAGCTGCCTTGAAGGAGAAAACACTCTTTTTTTTTTTTTTTTTTTTTCGGTAGGCGGGCCTCTCATTTCTGCTGCCTGTCCCGTTGCGGCTCAGCGGCCATGGCTCACGGGCCCAGCCGCTCCGCGGCATGTGGGATCCTCCCAGACCGGGTCACGAACCCACGTCCCCTGCATCGGCAGGCGGACTCTCAACCACTGCGCCACCAGGGAAGCCCGAAAACACTCATTTTTGTTACAGTCCTGTAAAATCCCAACTTTATCTTCATTCTTATCTGTTCATTCATTTAACTATTATTTATTGAGTACCCACTCTGTACTGGCATTGTGTAAGCCATTGGTGACATTTCAGTCAATAAGATAGTCATAGTTTCTTCTTTCACAGAGAGTGTTTAGTGGAATTTTCATTAATGATTAATTCATACACTCATTATATTAGGTAAAATGAGGTTTAGCTCTGTGTGACAGGAAACTTGAATTAACAGTGGTTTAAACAATTGCCTCATCTAAATATAGATCATCCAGGGACTTCCCTGGTGGCACAGTGGTTAAGAATCCGCCTGCCAATGCAGGGGACACGGGTTCGAGCCCTGGTCCGGGAAGATCCCACATGCCGTGGAGCAACAAAACCTGTGCGTCACAACTACTGAGCCCGCGCACCTAGAGCCTGTGCTCCACAACAAGAGAAGCCACCATAATGAGAAGCCTGTGCACCGCAATGAAGACCTAATGCAGCCAAAAATAAATAAATTAAATAAATTAATTAAAAAAATAAATATAGATCATCCAGACCTCAAATTGCGGGTCCATCATCATAATAAACCTCAAGCCTTTTTATCTTGCTGCTCTGCCATTCCTAACCAGCATAGGTATTTAGATTTTGAGTCTGTTTTCTTTCATTTAGCATAGTGCATTGGGATATAGAACGTTGTTCGTATCAACAGCCCATTCCTTTTCATTATTGAGCAGTATTCCATTCTATGGAAATACTACATTTTGTTTATCTATTTCCCAGTTGAGGGACTTTGGAGTTGTTTCAAGATTTTAGTGACTAAATTGCTATAAATATTTGTTTAGAGGTTTTTGTGTGAATATAGGCCTATCATTTCACTTTGGTAAATATCTAGGAGTGGAAAATTGGGCCATATGGATAAGTGTATACTGAACTTTGTAATAGCTGTGAAACTATTTTTAGAGTGGCAGTACATTGTGCATTCCCAACAGCAATATACAAGAGTTCCAGTTGCTCTGCATCCTCATCAGAATTTGGTATCATCAGGGTTTTTTTTAACCATTATATTAAGTGTATAGCAGTATCTCATTGTGGTTTTAATTAGCATTTCATTAATGACTAGTGATACCGAGCATCTTCTCCTGTGCTGCTGTCATCTGTATATCTTTTTTGGTAAAATGTATGTTCAAATCTTTTGTCCGTTAAAGAAATTTGATTGGTTGTTTTCTTCTTGTTGAGTTTTGAGAGTTCTTTATATATATTGGCTACAAGTCCTGTGTCAGATATATGATTTGCAAATATTTTCTCTATGTCTTTTCATTCTGCCAACAGTTTTGTTTGCAGAGCCAATGTTTTTAATTTTGATAAAGTCTAATTTATTTATTCTTTTATGGATTGTGCTTTGTATCTTAAAATTGTATATTTATATGTTAAAAGCCAAATTTATAAAAAAACCAAAAGAATAAATTCCTCCTGGCACCAACAGATTATCTACAAATAGTACATTAGCTATGTCTCCTAAATGTGACATCAAACAAGAAGAAATTAGATAATTTATGCTGGAAGAACTAGATTACAGTTATGAAAGATGACATAAGGATCTAACAATATCAATTTTTAAAACACAGAACTAAAGACTTTTAGATTCTGTACCTTTGTAGTATGTAAATACATGAAATAAAATGTTTCATGGGGGCTTCAAACACCCATTCATTTATTAATCCATCTATTTCTTTAAAAATTTTTACTGAGCACCTACAATGAGCCAGACACTGTGTTCTGGATGATGGTACACATATGAATATGAACGGAGATAGAACTTTGGACAAATAAATAAACAGGTTATAACACAATGTGGTAAGAACTATAGTTGGCATTTGTTCAAAGTAAACCATGCTTCTTTTTGCACAGGTGGTGGTTTCATCACACACATCTCAGTTTACAATTATTTTTCCGTGTGACGGGCCTTAATGTTTGTCTCTCTCATGGTCTATTCCAGGAGTATAAATACAATTTATGTTTTCTTCATAGTGGCTGGCACATAATACGAGCTGGATAAACAATTGTTGAATAAATAAAGTGCTTGCTATTGAAGTATAGAGGGGAAGAGTTGCTAACTCTGCTCCTGGGATCGCATTAAAAAAGGTGACTTTTGAAGTGAGTCTTGAAGCAGAGGTAGGAACTTGCTGGTGGGGGTGGGGTGAGGCTGGGGAGGAAGAGAAGGGCAGCAGGGCAGCACTGTACAGTCCTAGCCATGGGCATGTGAAGTCACACAACCCCTGTGGGAAGGACAAAAGGTCCCAGGAGGGTAGAATCATCCTATGTAGGGAAGTGTGGGGAGCAGCAGATGAAGCCGAAATGGAAGGCAGGGGTCAGGATGGGAAGGAAAGGCCTTGTCAACCAGGATAGGTTTGAACTTCATAGCGATGGAGTTGGGGAGACTGAAGGATTTTAAGCTTTTAAGTGACATGAGCAGTAGAGCAGTAAAGACTATGGCTGAAGCCTGGATAAGAGATGATAAGGGTGTGGCAGTGGCAGCAGAGATGTTGAGGAGAGACAGACCTGAAAGCTATTCCAGGAGACCAAATTTATGGTACTTGGTGATTGATAAGATATGAAGGGTAAAGTAGGAGGAGAATTTAAAGTTTTAGCTCTTCTGATGCCTGGAGAGTATCATATGTAGGGAGTTAACATATTATTTTTTTCCTGATTAATAAGTATTACATGTTCTTTAGAAAATATAGGAAAGCATAAAGAAGAAAAAAAAATCAGCTCTTATCTCAGCGCACAGAAATAACCACTGCTGATATTCTGAGTGCCTATCCTATCATTCTTCTAAAATAGATCCTAAGGATTCTATCTCCACAAGAAATCCACGGTCTCGTGAACAACATTAATATATTGAATTTAATTTTGAACCCAAATGTTAAGTTTTGACTATACTGTGAGCTGAGTCAATTTTTTAAAAAAATCAAGTGAATTAGGTACATGGGTGGGAACTTCCAAAGAAAGAATTTCTTCCCTGGAAACTAAATAAGGGGCAGTGATGACACCCAGGACATGCCCTCATTCATACCAGATTCTCAGAGGTGACCTGCCCAGTCACTGAGGGACATTTCCAGGTTCCGTTTCATTAATTCATGTTCAATTCATTCAATGTGCTGATCCCTGCAGGAAGGCAGCTCTGCAGTGATCACCTCCCGTGTCCAAATGTTTGGAGTGCTAATTATTTTTGCCCACTTGAACCTAGAGCTTGTGTGAACCTGTGCACATAAACTAAGTAAGAGAAAAACTTTCTGAGGTCCAGGAGCTGTGAATCAAAAACGCATTATTTGAGGCCCTTCCAGATAGAGGAAATGGGAGGGAAGTTAAAAAAAAAAAAAAAAGAAAAGGATATTTTTATGTTGAGAGGAGCGGGGAGGAGCAGAGTCAGGAAGATTCAGAGGATGTCTGCCTGAAAAGAAGCTCGAACAATAGAAAAGCTAAGGAGGAGAGAAAGGGGGCTCAACGATGGACAAATGTATCCACTGGGGCGGGCCGTCCTAGCGAAGGTAGCCTGCAGGCCAGGTACCAGGCGGAGGTGCTGCAGCTGGGGGCGAGCTCCCGGCTCCCGGACGGAACCCTTCCTCCCGACCTTCCCGGGGACCTTCCCTCGTCACGCCCGCCCCCGCCCCGGTCCTCGCCTGTCCTCAGCGGTGCTCAGAGGGTAGGCGGGTCCGCTTCCACTCTGAGGCTCTGGATTGAAAAGTCCCCGAGAGTCAAGTATGATTTACAACAGGGAAGAGAAAAATCAATACCTGCAGAGAGGTTTGGGGATGGGGGGTGGCGGTTACTTGAGGCAAACGTTTGGCAGAGGGTGGGAGAATTCTGCCTTGGGCTTTTCCCACCAAACCTACAACCCGACTCCCACTTCTTCACGAGGATCTGCCATCACCAACCCCGGCTCTCTCCCCAGCTCCGTCGCCCGCCCCGCGGTGTGCGTCTTCTATTGCAAACGTCAGGTGGTCTAGGTTTGCCCTGGGTAAGGAGCTCGACGTGCTTTTCAGCTGTGGTTCTTAGGTGCCGGGGGTTTCGCACGGCCCTGGGGGTGGCGGGGAGCAGGCTTTGGCTGGGGCCATTTCACACGGCCAGGCTTTCCCTCACTCAGCTACTGGCCAGGGTGAAGCGAGCGGCGCAGGGCGTCTCTCACAGGAATGGGGCAGTGCAACCTGAGCAAACATTGCTAGTTTTGAACGCTCACCGCGAACGGGCTTCAAGGGCAGGTCTCATATCCTCCCGGTTCCGTCCGCGGAACTCGGCAGACTCACTCTGCCGGCCGAAGCGCGGAGCCGGGAACCCCAGCTGCGCCGGCCCAGCAGCTCCGGCCCGCCGGAGTTTGGACACTGGGTGCTCGGGCAGACTCTCCCGGAGTTGGGTCGCGCGCTCCGTACCAATGAGCGTGCCCCGCGGAGGGCTCGGCTCCCCCCCGCGCGCGCTGATTGGTCCCGCGGCCGGCTAGGCCGGGCAGGCCAGTAGCGGCTGCGGGAGGCGGCGAGGGCCCGGCGCGAGTGGGAGTGGCGCGCGCCCCCCGCCGCCCTGTCCCTCCCCGCCGCGTTCCCTCCTTCTTTTCCTCCCTCGCTCGCTCGCTCGCTCCCTCCTCGCACTCCCCGGCTCCGGCCGCGCGCTGGCGGGGCTCCGCATTGCACACTCCGGGGGCGCCGCAGTGTTCGTGGGATGGAGCAGCGGGCTGCCGCTGGCGGCCGGAATCCGCGTGCAGCCCGGGTGAGTAGAGGCGGGCTTCCCGGGAGAGCACAAAAGGAAACGGGGCTCCTGCCAGCGGCCCGAGCTTATGCGGGGCCTGGGCCAACCACGGAGTGGGCTGAGTCCCTGGAACTACCGAGTGCTAGGACAGTCTTTCCCCCCCACAGCCCCTGGCCAGCAGAGCTGGTGTCTTCGCTTCTGCATCCCTCTCCGGTGTTTTGCCCCCGAGTGGGCAGTCCGCACTGCGCGCAGCCTGGGCATGTCCGGAGGGGCGTGTGTGCGTGTGTGTAGTGCTGGTGCTCTGGGGGTGGGATGGAAATGTCAGGAGCTGCCAAGTTCACCGCTGGAGGAATCTTTCCCAAGAGTAATTCACCACCTTCCCAGGGCCAGGCATGCGTCCACCAGGAACTCCAGCCGGAGGGAGAACCGGGGAGGCGGAGTGGCAGCGCCCCACATGTTGCTGCGGGGCGGGCGGGGGGTGGCGGTGGGCGGCGGCCATGGCCCGGCTGCGCCCACCCAGAACCAATGCGGTGGGGCGGTGAGCTGGGGGTCTTCCAGCCGTCGCGCTAACGGGCAAGGCCCTCCGACTGCCCACTATGGGGGTTCGGCGAGGTGGCGTCCACCCACTGAGCCAGAGCTTCGCCTGGGCTTGACTTGGCGACCCGCTTTTCTCTCCATTAAAAGCAGTTCCATTGATTACATTTGGCTAAACATTCTATTTTAGCCTAAAGCTCTCTATCGGTCGGTCTATCTGACTCGCTCTGACCTCCGCCGCGATCTCACCAGCTCCACTCCCCCAACCCCTGCCTCGACCCTATTCCTCACAGTGAGGTTCAAAACTTGATGTTTGAGCATGATTGTATCCGGCGTGGTCCCTGGCATCTCAGATGTCACAATCATTTGCCGTTTCCTAGGGGAGTCCAAGGACTTGTTGTTATTTGGGGGGTGGGGGTGGGGCGGGACATTGAGGAGGGAGAAACTCTTTGGTAGGGAGCTAGTTGGTAGAATAGCGTTGACCTCCCAGAGCCATATGACAAAAAAGAATGTTAAGCTTCTCCCTCTGGTAACTCACCCAAGGTGTGACCTCCAAAATTCAGTTTTCTTTGTGGGAGGCTAGGGAGTTTAGATTCTCCAGGGGAAAGGTTATTTCTTGTTAAATTGACTTACAGTGACATATGCTCTGTTCTGCTCTTCACTGGCCAGCCATTGCAGATGCCTTGATATTATTAGGGCAATTCCCTTAAAGCCATTACGTTTTCTTACTCGAAGTAGCTCTTTGAAATTTTAGATCTGCACCCTATTTCTCTAGAAGACGTTAATGGTTACTGTATATGTGCTCATGTGTACCAAGTTTGCAAAAGATATTTGTGCAATCGTCCATGAAATGGCTTAATACACATTTATGGTAAACCCATTTAAATGTAAAACATCTATCTGCTTTCAATTTTACTTTCCTCCTTGACCAAAGGCACCAGACTGAAACAGGACTTAAAAGAGGCTTCCTTGTTTAAAAAGAGGTTTTACAGAACTCTAGTCCTGAGAGCAAACAGTACGCTTTTGAGCTTGTAGGCACACAAAGGCTGTTAAAAACTGTGAATTAGTTTTTTGGGGTTAAAAATATCAGAAATGCTTCCAGACCAAAAAGGGTAGCTACAATGCATAGGTCTACATTTTGAAGCTGTTGACAGTCTTTATAAGATGAATGTTTATAGCACAGAATGCATAAACGGGACTGATTATAGCAAATAATGCCAAGTAAAAAACCATACTTTGCATCATATGTACAGTTTACATGGCACACTGGAATCTACTATTAAGGTATCTGTGAGGAAGTCACCCTGATTTTACAGGTGGAACAGCTGAGGCTCTCAGAAGTTGAGTGACTTTTCCAAGGTGAATAGCAGAGTTCAAGTCAAGTTTTTTTCCCAAGTTCTTCCCTCCCTTGCTCCCTCCCTCCCTTTCTTCATGCTGGGCTTCCTTCTTTCCTAGTTCTAATTTCTGTACCTCTTTTTACTATTCAGCGCATAGCTTCCGGACCATTTTGTACCATTCCCAAAAGGCTTTGCTCTCTGCAAAGTACCACATAGCTCCCTGTAAGGTGAGGGCTGATGAACATTTAAGGAGAAAGCTAATAATGGATTTTAAGGAACTATCCTTTTCCAAGGGGCATATTATTTTTATTAATGGGTTGTTAAATATACAAGTAATCAAAACCCTAAAGAATGATGGCCTTATGGTAGTGCTTCAGAAAAATCAAGTGACTAATAGTGGCATAGATGTTTGAGAAATACGTAAGTCTCCCACTCTATCAGCAGAAACTCCTCATAAGTTCAATAGACAATTACAGTGAAGCCCTAATAAATGATTATTTCATTAGTGTCATTTTAATTTTAAAAAGAGTTGACAAAACAGATTACTTAAATAAACCCAGAGCCACTCTGGAAAAAAAAAAAAAACCCTCACTCATCAAAAGTCCTGAAATCCTCGCTAACTAGTTTACAAATGCAACAGAAAACATTGATTAAAGAGAAATCATGTTTTCACTTGCATAGCTAGCAATAAGGGGCTTACAGCTATCTGCCTATCTGATTATTTATTAAAAACCCATCACTTACACATCTTTTCTTGGAAAACTATTGCTCATGATCTTTATTTATGACACATTGCATAATATTTTTTAAGATGAGTAGAATTAATTTTGTTTGGATTAATGTAGGTAGAAATATTTGAAGGGTCAGTTTATTAAATTAAGCCCCTGAAGAGTGACAGATCCCAAGCACACTGAAAATGAGATGGTCAAAAATGAATGTGGAAAAATTCTTGCAGTGGAGTCCCAAAATAATAATGAAAGACTCTTACATACTGTGAAAGGAGAATTGTGGAAATACTTGGCTTACATTGTACCAAACAGATACTCAGAGATAAAAAGAGAACACAGTATAAATGAATTCTTTGCTTCTGCTTTTGCTGAGTAACATTCTTATACCCAGGCTTTCTCAGGCAATAAACACACTGGAGGTAATAGATCAAGAGATGGCAAGTGCTCAGGATATTCCAGACCCAATCAACAGACTAGGTACTAAATCACCAAGATGGCCATCACTCAAGTGTGTTGAACCTTAGTGTGTAAATGACAGCTCTCTGGGGCATTGGCTGGCGGCCTCGCGGGGCTTTTGTCAGGGGAGGAGTTTCAGGGGGGACCCTGCAGCCATCAGGCCAGATCCATGTCCCTATAGATCAGTATTCAAAGTGAACACAGATTACAGTTAGTACAACTTATTTTGGAGAAAGGGGGAATAATGTATTAGAGTTTAAGGAGGAAATATATTTGTGGCTAAAGTGTTGCCCAAAATATGATATTTTTAAACTTTCAGAAAGCCTGACTGGATTTCAAATCCTGGTTCCTCCCTATTCATGAATTTTTTTTTTGGCCAAGAAACAAGAAACAGAGAGTGGAGATAGACACTTCTCTGAGTGGACAAATAAGCTCTTCCAGGAACTAGTTTGGGGATGGTTTTATTTAAACTTTTATAAATGTCTGTAGATGGTATGTAGTTCTTATGGGTAAGTGAAAACTACACTGATAAAGTTGAATCATAGGAATAACTAAAAAGACAGCCTAAATAGGAAGAAAAATAATAGAAGATTAAAGTCAAAATGGAGAATTGAAGATAAGTGTATTTGGGAAAAGCAATTTGGGAAATGCAAAAGTGTATTTGGGAAAAAAGTGTAATTGGGAAAAGTGTATTTGGGAAAAGCACATTTATAGGAGATGGTTTTGGATTCCATTCCCATCAGAGGTCAGTATAGCTGGATAATATTCTCTCAGCTTTCTTAAAAAAAAAAAGTGTGTCCACCAAGTTAAAGTTAATGTTAAGAAAAGGATATAAAATTCTATATTAGTGTGATACCATTAAAAGTGTGTAGTTGAGTTAGTTTGTATAAATCTTTCCATATCTGTTTATCTATCTATTATAGAAGGAAATGCATCAATACATTAATAGTGACTATCTCTGGGTATTATGGGATTGCAAATGTTTTTATTATCTTCCTTTACTTCAGTATTTTCCAAATTTTCTTCAATGAACATGTATTGCTCTTAGAAGAAAAAGTATTATGGAAATAATGTATAGTGTTGTAACCTCAGATTTCAAATAGTCTTACTATAACAAAGGCTCATTTGATTATCATTTCTATGTCTTCTGTAAATCTGCATTTGAAAAATTTGCCTGTTTTTTCCCCCTGAATTCCCTATATATGAAAGGCAGCATGTTTAAATAATTTTTTTTTTGTATTTGATACTAAGGAAAAGTGTGGCTGAATATGAGCACTGTGCTTTCCTTAGACAGTGAGAACTGGGAAATCAAAAGTCGTTCTGTTTTTGCTATAACTATCAGGATATGAAGAACCAAGTTAATGGAAGCTGGTATGTCTTGTAACAACTCCATAGACAAAGGATCCCATAAGGGATGTGCCCAGTTTCCAGAGCCATGGCCCTCAGAGAAGCCCCAAGTATGATGTCCCCATCAGATAATTTTAGTTTTCTCTCAGTCTACCAATTAGGGGTAGGGGTCATAGTTATAACTAGTGGCTAGCTACCATAACTAGTAGCCTAATTGACATTTTTACCCTTATGAGGTTGCTGCAAAGGAAGAGCTATACAGATACTGGAAGTCAAATTCTCATGCACACAGTTACAAATACAGTGA